TCTTGCTGTGTGGGCTGAGAAGTCCACTGCTCCACCTCATGCTCTGGCTCCTGGTTCTGTTCCTACTGCTCCCCTGGTGTCAGAGCTGCCTCCTGGATCAAGGAGGTTCACTGCTCAGGGACCTTGGGGGCCCAAAGGAAGTGCTCCATTTCTGTCTCTTCTCCCTTGCTGGTAGTGACCTCCTCCCAACTGCCTCTGAGGTGGTTCATCTAACACCCAGCAGGGTGGCAATCACAACGCACCCTGTGATTGCTCACCACTGAATCCTAGAGTCCACTCAGTATCATCCCCCACCTTCTTACCCAGACCCAGCAGGAAAATGAAGGTCATTTGGTGGGAGTAAGCAGGAGTCATATTAAATAATTCACTGCATTACACCAGACCATGTGGGTCTCTCTTTATTGTTTCTGTGTTGCCTCGCTACAACAATCAATCATTTTGAATGATGACAAAAGCTTTACCAAGATTGTGACAATATAAGGAGGGTGAGGTAGGAAGTGAGTGAAAGCCAATGAAATCAGTGGACTTTTGATACTATGTGAAAGCAACATTTTAGAACAAGCAAGTAGAGAATGCTAGATTTACCTGTGTTGGTAGTGTATGGTGCTGTCAACTGACACTCCTTTTTGCTGCCTACAAGTGACAGTCATTTCCTCAGCTGCTGTGTTTGGGACTTGGCTTTCTGCACATACTGGCCCATTGACCATACAGACTCATCTGCTTCAACTAGCCTGAAAATAACTGACTGCAACAGAGCAATCGCTTTCCAGTCTGGAGGTTAGTTCTGCTTTCTGAGCTGTGTCCACAATGAGCACATGCAGAAAACCAGCCCCAGGTCAGCAAGCACCAATTGGTCATGGATTAGTGGCTTCCTCCACAGTTGCCAGAACACTTAAACAACCCAGCATGCTAGCCAGCTGCTTTCTATATTAGCTGTGCCTGACAGGAATGCACATTAAAATGCACCACCATGCAGTGAATATTGGCTCCCTACATTTGTTCATGTTTCAGTTTATCAAATACTACCAAACAATAAGTCATCTCATTTTCGTCATTCCATTATTATCTCACTTCATCATCAAGATAAGGCATCATATAGGCTGGACAGGAAGTATTCCCATGTCATGATTCAGGAAACTAAAGAAGGGCATAAGGTGGGGGGTACACGAGCAGGCCTCTCTCAGCCTACTCTCTGTTAGCTGGGAAGTTCGGAACCTGATGGGTCCCACACTGCTCCCCCTCTCCCCTCAAAAGGAGGCCACTGAAGAAGGGCCCCCACTGGAAGCAGGGGGCTTTTTCTAATTTTAAAGAGGAGATATTTGCTTTCGATTCCCTAAAATACTTGAATTTTGCCTTATAAACACCACATGTTGGATGATGGCTACCTAAGCCAATCAAATCTTATCCTTTGGGAAATATAAGAGTCAGTTACACAACAAGAAATTCAGGGGAGGAGAAAAAGTAAGCACTACACTTCTAGTAGCTTCTGGTGGGAACACGAGGAACTTAATGCCACTGAGCTATACCTGTGAAGATTGTTAAAATGGCCAGCGTTTAGGGTACCTATGTATTTACCACAATAAAAATGTGTTCTAACAATGTCTCTGTATGTGATAGCCAGCTTTGGGGGGAGAGCATAGTGCTTGCTCTAAAGCTCAATGTCTTGGTTAGGACTGCTCACCTTTGGTGACTGCTCCCATGTCGCAGCATTGATGCTTGTGACCACAATTCCTGAATTCCTCTGATGTACTCTTAACTCCCCAGGAGGAGTCCCACTCTTGGGGGGAAATCATAACACGAACTCTCTCATCTTTTGAATACTAGTCATGACTATCTTGGTTTAACCATCACAAATAGGATGCCAGTAGAAAAACACACCCTTTATCGTGAGAGACAAGCACTGATAGGCTATCTGGAGGTTTTGCATTCCCTACTGAAAGGCCTTGTGGCGAGAATAATACTCAACACAGTTGTACCCCTCAGAAACCTTGTGAGAGGGTTCTACTGAAACTACATATATATATTGTATGTCTTGAAAAAAGTTTATATTTAGCATTAGCCAGCTGGATCCTGGTTTTGTTGGCAACATCTAAAGCAGCACTTCTCAACCTGTGGGTCTCGACCCCTTTCGGGCAGGGGTGTGTGTCAAAGGACCCTTTCACGGGGGTCCCCTAAGACCATTGGAAAACATAAATATTTCAAAATATATAATTACATATTGTTTTGTGATTAATCACTGTGCTTTAATTATGTTCAATTTGTAACAATGAATATACATCCTGCACCTTTCGGCCGGAACCGCCATCTTGCAGTAACCTGCCAAAATGAGGAACACCAAGGGGAAGAGGAGCGGCACCCACTACGTGTTCTCCAGGCCTTCAGCAAGCACGGCGTCGTTCCCCTGTACGCCTGCATGCGAATCTGCAAGAAAGGTGACACTGTGGACATCAAGGGCATGGGCTCTGTTCAGAAGGGGATGCCGCACAAATGTGACCACTGCAAAACCGGACGCGTCTACAACGTGACCCAGCATGCTGTCAACATTGTTGTCAACAGGCAAGTCAAGGGCAAGATCCTCGCCAGGAGCATCAACGTGCACATTCAGCACTCGAAGAGCCACAGCTTCCTGAAGCGTACGGAGGAGACCGACCAGAAGGAGGAGGCCAAGGAGAAGGGCACCTGGGTGCCGCTGAAGCGCCAGCCTGCCCCTCCACGAGAGGTCCACTTTGTGCGGACCAATGGGAAGGAGCCCGAGCTGCTGGAGCCCATCCCCTATGAGTTCATGGCCTAGTCTGAAATAAAGCTGTCCCGGGCAAAAAAAGAGAAAAGAAAGTACATCCTGCTTATCAGATATTTACATTACTATTCATAAAAGTATCAAAAATGACAGCTATGAAGTAGCAACGGAAATAATTTTACCGCAACACAAGGAACTGTATGAAAGGGTCGCATCATTAGGAAGGTTGAGAACCACTGATGTAAAGTGTCATCGTCAGGAGCCGCCTCCTTGCCATCAGGCCTGATCAGGTGTTGTCCTTGGCTACATCAGTGTTATAGAGCTCCTTCAGGGTTTGATCTGGGGTTTGACAGTGATCAAGGGGAACTCGATGGCATAGTGGCCAAGCGTGTTTCTCCTGGGGGTGCTCTTCTGAGGGTACTCGGGCTGCTTTCTTAGAAGATGGGTGACATTCAGATTGTGTGTGTGTGTGTGTGTGTGTGCGCGCTTGCGCACTCTGGACACCGTTCAGCACAGCCTTCTGAGCTTTTAACACCTTTACTTTGGCTTCCATTTTAGGAGTGGCAGGGGCTTCCTTCTTTGCCTTCGGTGCCATCTTTGTAAAATGTGGATCGATATATTTTTTAATCATTAAATGTATTCAATCAAATGCAAAATTTGCTTCCAACTTCAAAAGAGAGATTCTGAAAACAAACGTACTGCTGCTGTGTTGTCTTAACTAGTATTCTCTGCTTTACACTAGCTCCAGAAGTAATATTCATGATTCAAGGGTTTATTAAGGAAATTAACAGGTTGTAATGCAAGTGGGAAATACTGTGCGATACAGGATAGAGTTGTTCATTAAAATATGTAACAAAGTTCTTTCAGACCTACTAAATGCCACTCAGCAGTTAGCCTCAACCCAAAGGCATCCAGTTACAGCTCAGTGGGTCAGTAGACCCAACTCCCTGAATTATGTGCCCAGAAGCACCCCACTCCAGGAAGCCTCAGCCCAAAGGTACTCAGGTCCACTTCCATGGGTCAACAAGCCCAACTCCCCCAATTAAGTGCTCAGAGACACCCTAGTCCACAAGCTAGCCTCTGCACAAAAGCATTCAGCTTTAATTGCTCCGTGGGTTGGGCAGTCTGTAACTCTGTCCATGCGCCAGCTCTTGTTTCTGCTGCTGATCCTCTGATGTCACAATTGTCTTCTGGATCCAAGAGGTTCACTGCATGGGGATCGCAGGGTCCAGAGGACGTGCTCACTCCTGGTTCTTGCTGGCAATGAGCTCTCTCCTCCTGCTTCTTAGAGGGCTCATTTCATATGCAGCATGATGGCATTCCAAGGAATCCCATTAAAAATTACTCACAGGTAAATCCTTTTAGTATTTCCCCCACCTCCCCATTTTTTTTTTAAAACCAGGCCCATGCAGGTAAAGGTATTTTTGCAGAAGTTAGAGACTTTGGCTAGAAGAACCACATTAAATAATTCACTGTCCCTGCCTCCTCCAGGAGTTACACAACCTGAATCACATTCCTTTCTCTTTTTTTATTAATAGATTATTACATATATTATAACAATCCATACATCCATTGTATCAAGTGTACATGTACAGTTGTTGGCATCAAGAATTTCTAAACATTATCTTTCTTCTTGAGCCCTTTGATATCAGCTCCTCTTTTTTTCCCCTCCCTCACCCACCCTGCCACCACAATGAACCATTAATATATTATGTATTGATATTATTATTCATATATATCTTACACTGCCCATTTTATCTCTTCACCTACTATCCTGGTATTCGTCCGTCTCAAGGGGGGTTATTCTTCTGTCATTGCTATCCATCCCCCTTCCCCCTTTCTCCCCCTTCCCTTCCCCTACCCTCCTGGAATCGTTACTCTATTTCTGATTCATATTTTAAGAACAATAATCTTTCTTGTTTTATTACCAGGATACATGCAAAACAAACAACCTCACTGCCATCCAGTCAATTGCTGACTCACAGTTAGTCAGTCCCCTGTGGGTTTCTGAGACAGGGGTATAGAGCCCAGCCCAGTCACTCGCTCATGGTTCCAAACTTAAGACCAAGCCAAAGCACACCTAGAGCAACCAGGAGGGAGAGGAGACAAAAAAGAATCTTCCCCTGGAGTAAACATGGCCTTGACCACACCCTGAATTCATTCCATGCATGTAGCAGTGTTTGGAAATCAACATGGACTGTATGTCGCCCCCCTAGTTCCACAATAGCAACACTGGTAAAACGCCACTGTCTGTATCTTACAGGAGACTCTGCTCTTAAAGACAAAGAAGATCAGTTTGGGAGAACACCACTCATGTACTGTGTGCTGGCTGACAGAGTGGATTGTGCAGACGCTCTCCTGAAGGCAGGTGCAGATGTTAACAAGACTGACCACAGCCAAAGAACGGCCCTCCATCTTGCAGCTCAAAAGGTGAGAAGTCAACTTAACTTGCAAATTAAGCCTCTCGTTTAGTATTTATCACTTGATGAATGGAACAATACAGCAGAGGGCTACAAATACAAGGAAGCAAAGAATACGTGACTCTTCTGTTTCCTTAAAAATGATCTGTAAACTACAGAGTGAACCCAAAGTAACTAATGGCAGCGTCCACCTATCGTGTGCTGTTGTCAGGGAATTCATTAAGTGGGGAAAACGCATCAGTTATATGTACAAGATGATTAAAACTGTATTGTGAATTACATTATATATAGGGTAAAGCAATGGCCCAACATAAATACACTAAAATGTTCCTTGTGGTTGGGTGTACATTTTAGAAATAGGTATGAAGATGTCTCCTTTTTTACTATTTACAATTTGACTCTCTTAATCAGTGTTGCTTTACAATAAAAAGTTGCACTCTCTTGAAATATGAGGGGGCTTCAAAAGGTTTCTGGAAACTATGGAATTTAGAGAGAATGGGATTTTCCTACAAACTTTTTGAAGTTTCATGTGTGGTATTAGGCTTGGGGCCATCACAGAAACCTGTTTTATACATGTGTCTTCATTATTTTTTTAAAAATCTCAAGTTATATTGCCAATATTAGTATGTTCGCCTTTTTAAAGGCACCGTCAAGGGCTTGGATTTTTAAGTTTAAACCTATCAAAACAAAAAGGCGAGGGTGGGGGGTTGGGGAGAGAAGCTTCAGCATTTATTTAAAGACTTTTTTGCCTAAGAATTATTTTTCCATCCATAAAACTTTGATCTCTAAAAGGTATTTCCAATGGCTGGTATTTTGTCTTTTTGCAATTTTAGTCTTCTATACTTTTGGAACAAAAATAGCCGACACTATTTAAAAATGTGAACCAGATATAGCTGGTTAATTGAAGGGTTAGAAAAATATCTTTTCATTAGGTGAATGCATAAAAAGAGACTGACATTAAAATATACTACTGAATATGCTAGTTATAGGCTTTTATCTGTTAGGTCTGTCAGGTTATTTCCAGTTATTTCTCTTGAATTTGCTTTTCAGTATCATAATGTATTTAAAAACATCCCTCATTTTCAATCACATTTTTAACTACTGCTAAAGTATTTATAACCTCTCACCTGGGCTTTGTCAGTAGTGCAAATTACTCCCTCAGGTAAGATAACACCACTTACCTTGTTATCATTTGAAAAAAAAATTTCAGAAGGGAATAGTCCCAATATTAGGAATTTGCGGGAAGTGAATAACAGAATTGTAGGTTAATGGATATATTGGATGGGATAAGATAAGGTTATATATGTATATATATTATATACACATGCTTATTGATTTATATTTATATAATACTAACAATAACAATATGGGTTCCTGGGAAGAAGGGTGGTGGGGTGAATAAAGGGGAACTGATATCAAAGAGTTCAAGAAGTAAGAAAATGTTTTGAAACTGATTGTAGTATCAATTGTACAACTATGCCTGATCTATTTGAATTATGGAATGTTATGATATCTGTAAGAGTTCCCAATAAAATTATTTAAAAACAAAATAAAACATGATTTCTGATTTTTTTAAAAAAAATTTGCTACTCTTAAGATTTTTCCATATAATTCATTGAAGTTAAACTTCATTTAGGTTTAAAATGCAACTTCAAAAATGTAAGGTGGAGGGAACTTAACTTAATATTAAGTGGAACACGGTGATGGGGGTGTGTGTGAGGAAATGAGGTCTTCATTTGGTGATCCAACGGCATGATATCATTGCAGAGATATATGACCAAAATGAGAGACTAGGTGTGTACAACCAGAAATGTTAGCTATAAGTTTCTTTATAAGATGCATTGTGCTGTTTTGTTTGCTTTTTGTGTCTACCATGGTTTATTGTGTGTGTGTGATAGTGGATAGTATCAAAGATTAAATGGAACTATGAATTACATGTTACATCTTACATATATGTCCTAAGTTAAAAAATGTATGTTCTTTGGAGTTTCTGATAATTATGTATTACCTACTCCTCTTGTTTGGTTTGTGTTTGTCAGAGCAGCAACTGATCCTTTGGCTTTACTAACACTAGTAGAATTTCCAAAACCGAGGTGGTAATAATTTTTTTAGTGCTCTGGATCAAATGTAGATAATATATTGAATTTTCTGTTTCATAAAGTAGAGTATTATTCAGAAACTGGAGATTGTATAGACCAGGCAGCCCTAGGAAGAGGAAGGTCTAGAAATTTTTTTTTTAATCATTTTATTGGGGGCTTATCACAATCCATACATACACCAATTGTATGAAGTACATTTGTACATTTGTTACCCTCATCATTCTCAAAACATTTGCTCTCCATGTAAGCCCCTGGCATCAGCTCCTCATTTTTCCCCCTCCCTCCCTGCTCCCCCACCTCACTCATGAACCCTTGATAATTTATAAATTATTATTTGTCATATCTTACACTGTCCGACATCTCCCTTCACCCACTTTTCTGTTGTCCATCCCCCAGGAAGAACGCTATATGTAGATCCCTGTAATCGGTTCCCCCTTTCTACCCCACTGCCCCTCCACCCTCCCAGTATCGCCACTCTCACCACTGGTCCTGAAGGGATCATCTGTCCTGGATTCCCTGTGTTTCCGGTTCCTATCTGTACCAGTGTACATCCTCTGGTCTAGCCAGACTTGTAAGGTAGAATTAGGATCATGATAGTGAGGCGGGGAGGAGGTGGGGAAAGCATTTAGGAACTAGAGGAAAGTTGTATGTTTCATTGTTGCTACACTGACCCTGACTGGCTCATCTCCTCCCCACGACTCTTCCGTAAGGGTATGTCCAGTTGCCTACAGATGGGCTTTGGGGCCCCACTCCGCACTCCCCTTCATTCACAATGATATAATTTTTTGTTCTTTGATACCTGATACCTCATCCCTTCAACACCTTGTGATCACAGAGACTGGTGTGCTGTTTCCATGTGGGCTTTGTTGCTTCTGAACTAGATGGCCACTTGCTTACCTTCAACCCTTAAGACCCCAGATGCTATGTCTTTTGGTAACCAGGCACCATCAGCTTTCTTCACCACATTTGTTTATGCACCCATTTGCCTTCAGCGATCGTATCTGGGAGGTGAACATACAATGATATGATTTTTGTTCTTTGATGCCTAATATCTGATACCTTCGGCACCTCGTGATCACACAGGCTGGTGTGCTTCTTCCATGTGGGCTTTGTTGCTTCTGAGGTATGGCCCCTTGTTTACCTTCAAGTCTTTAAGACTCTGGATGCTATATCTTTTGATAGCCAGGCTCTATCAGCTTTCTTCACCACATTTACTTATGCACCAGCTTTGTCTTCAGTGATCGTGTCAGGAAGGTGAGCATCATGGAATACCAATTTAATAGAGCAAAGTATTCTTGTGAGGAGGCCCAATGTCCATCTGCTACCTTAATACTAAACCTATAAATATATGCACATAAATCTATTTCCCCATCCTCATATATAAATATATTTACAAATATACATGCCTGTATTTAGACCTCTATAAATACCCTTTGCCTCCTAGCTCTTTCCTCTATTTCCTTTTACTTTCCTCTTGTCCCACTATCATGCTCAGCCTCATTTGGGTTACAGTAATTTCTCTCGGTTACATTACACTTGATCACGCTCTACCAGGCCTCCTAGACCCTCCTCACCACTGATTTGGATCACTTGTTGTTCCCTTATCCCTGGGTTTGTTAACACCCACTTCCTTTCACCCCATCTCCCCCTCTCCCATGTCCCCCCGGAACTGTTGGTCTCGTTGTTTTCTCCTCCAGATTGTTCATCCAGCCTATCTTATTTAGACAGACCTGCAGAGATAATAACATCCACAAAAACAAGACAGAGCAAAGCCAAGCAACAAAACAAAACAACAACAGCAAAAAAGCCAATGACAAAAAAACCCACAGCACAACAACAAAAAAGAAAAGCTTTTAGTTAGTTCAAGGACTGTTTGTTGGCCTTTAGAAGTGTTTTCTGGTCGAGTCTGATGGGGTGCCAAGCCATGGCCCCAAAGTCTATTTTTGGTATCACCTGGGGACTTTGTTGCTCTATTCCCCTTGCTATTCTGTTGCACGCCCTTAGTGTTTTGCCTCGGTGTGGTGGGATCAGATTGGGCACAAATCCCACACTGTGTCTCCATTGTTGTCCCCTGTCGGGCTATAGGTCAGTGAGGGATGTCTTGTCTCATAGTGGGGCCAGCCATATGGTCTTCTTTGTGGATTGGCTGCTCTGAGCGAGAATATCGTCCTCAAGGCTTGGTGGGCCAGGATGTGCTCCACTCTCTCTTCCTCCCCCTTGGTTTTCTCCCGTATGCTCTGATCACACATGTCCCTCTCCCAGAGCTGCAGCTTCAGTGCTGTCCTCTGAAGTGAATTCTTCTGGGGGAGTAGTGGCTGTCTACATAGTTGGGATTGGGGTAGAAATAATTCTTAAAGAATATGTGGAAATTATGTAAGACACTAAACCTCAAAATGAGGAAGTTGGATTGAGACTCAGTTAAGCTTGGAATACAAACACGTCCAGGTCTGTAGCACACCACCTCTGAGCAGAAGCAAACACAAATGCTCTTTAGGGAAAACATCATCTCCTTTAACTTCCAGGATTCTCCCATATTAAAATAAACCAAACATGATCTCACAATGGAAGCTTACCAAACACATAAAGAAGCAATCTGCCATGAGTGAGAGTCAGCAGAAACAACAAACAAGTGATTTAGACTATCAAACTCTATCACAGACTACAGTACATCTCTCCAGCTGTTGCCATTACTAAAAGTACACTCGCAATAACTACTCATGAAATGTTTGAAGTCATAAAAGAAGGAATCGGAAAAATGAGCAACCAAGAGACTCCCATGACTAGACCCGACAGCTTATCATGAACTAACCCAGCTGCCAAAAGCATCTATAAAACCTGAATAAAATATATGAATGATCTTTAAAACGTTTGTGGGAAAAAAAGGGATTAAAAGAGATAATGGAATTGTTCC